TTGCTCCTCCGCCTCTCTCTCTCTCTCTCTCACTATCTCTGTCACTCTCGTTCTATAGCCAAATTCGCCTATTTTTAGTTCGCGCTTTTAGGGCGCCAATTTCAGAGCTATAAATAGAGCCGCATAAGCACAAGGTATGCATGCGTGGGCGTTGCTGTTTTAGATATGTATGTACACAGTTCTCATAATAATATGTCGAGTTATGTCTCGAAAACAGAAAACTGAATATAGCTGTAATTGCCTGTCAATTGATGATATAACAGGAGTCCGTCGCATTTTACACATTTTATATACACTTTCTAGCCCATTATACAAACAAGTGACGCAAATTGTAAGTTAAACGGACCGGGGCGAAAGGACGGCTGAAGACGCGTGGAACCAATAGATTTTGCTATTGTAATGCATCAATTTTGTTGTTAATTTACTATGAAAATGGCAAAATGCCATCGGAATATCGTTGATCCATATAACCAGTCGTTTATCGAATCGATGTATAATCAGTGGAATATTTACAACAGTCAAGCCATTAAAAGGACAAAACACAGCTTTAGTCCAGCTATCAATAGCTTATCCAATCGATTATCGATTGTAATCGAAATAGCTTAAAGCTTTACAAGCGATCTATTTACTTTACTGTTAGTATCATACATATTTAACAGCTGTTAACAGCTAAAAGTAAATCAAATTAGATTTCAGAATTTTATCAATTGGTTACACATTGACTTGTTATATTTGTACATATATCAATATATATTTATAGACATCTATCACCCTCTCTGTCTCGCATTTTGATCTACCTTGCAATTTGCTAGTTGTCATGCCAACCCATTCGGGCTCCATCTCGTTGCCTCCACCAATCAATAACAATGCCAGTTCATATATAGAATATGAAAGAAACACCCTATAGTATATACATCAAATATATATACATATCAATGTATATATAAATTGCTTGCCTGCTGATTTGCTAATAGATAAATAATTAAAATCAATTTATATTGATTTAGCAACATATTTGTGCACAATGCACAGAAATTAGCACAAATCAGCTGAAATGTTAAGCAAACACACTCCCATACAGCAGCCTATATACATTTATACGTAGAAAGACCCTAAAAGCAAGTTCCGATAACATCGAATGGAAAGACTTTAAAAATTAAAATCGTGACCGGACTTACGACTTTCCATTTAGCTAAGCCTCAAATGCATTTAGCTATTTATATACTATGTACTACATCTCTGTATATAGTATAGTATATTTATATACATGTGTATATACACACTCAATTTAATCGGATACATTGCAGGAACACGTGAGTTTCGTATCAGGAAACAGTTTGACAGAGAGGCGTCTGGCTTCCCTCTTATCATCATCGTACAGCCGCGTGCCAGTGACGATTGCAACTACTGCCTCTCGGCTGATAAGGATTTTGGAATATAGACATTTCCCATTTGTGGGCAGTGAATAATCATTAACTAAGAGCACTTGAAATGTATACGAAGTGTAAAGATACTTTAAAAAAAAGTTTATATTATAGATTTTATATGTCCTTACTATGAACACATATTTGAGTATTACTGTTTTAACAGACAAAGTTATAATTATATAGCAGCATCGCATCTTAACAGTCCTGTGTGTAAAAGAGTCTTGTGTAGGGGAAAGATTAGATACAGTTGGAAGATATCACTGACGATTAACCATTTTATCTAAAAACTTTATGAGCAGCTCATGGATATCTCTTATCAGCAGCAAACAGCTGCAAAATTGCCAACGAGATAAGTAACTAACGCCCACTGGGAAATGTTCGGAAAAAGGTTTGCAAAAATTAATAAAAACTAATTACAATGGACCGGAAGTGTCCACTCAACTTCTATTTTCATTAACTATTTGTCTCATAAGAAACGCGAAACGAAAAAGGAAAACGAAAACGAATACAAAAACAAAAGAAACTGATATCGTGAGCAAAATTAAATTCCAAGAATTCTTTCAAAAAGGGTTTCTTGGCTTTTGCATTTGGATAGAGGGATATGTAGATAAAACCAAATACAAAAACTGTTTAAAACCATGAGTCAGTAGAATAACAGCGGATCTCATAACACATATAGACCTAGATATAGCTATAGATATACATATATAGTACACTCTGTATATGGTAGATATTTATACTTTTTACGAAATTTCAAAGAAAAGCAAACAAGTTTGCTTAATGGCCGCATCCGCAGAGGCCACAGTCAGAGGGAACATCATCAAGTAACAACAAAGAAAGTTGAAGGCCGACAAATCATTGACCGTATATAGAATATATACATGAGAATTATTTATATATATATATATATATGACAGTTCTACTCGTATATATATATATAGACATTTGTTTAGCACATTCCATGATGAGCACTTTTAAACTATGTATGTACTTAATATGCTCTCAATCGAAACGGGGCGATAAACAACAATCGAGAAATTGAGAAATGATGCAATAAGTGCGACAAATGTAATCAGCATTTTAATCGCATCGAAACTGGATTCCGATACAACACAATTCTCTGGGCAAGTCGGGCAAATGGAACTGGGAAATACAGCTGAGCGACGTATCGTGACGCGATATAATAATTACAAATTAAATATTATAATTTAATTTAAATAATTATAATTTATTCACGTGCTCTCATCCCTAATGGTAGCTTCTAATTTACATTTATTATTCAGCTCAAATAAAAATCTTTCAAAATATGTAATGAATCTGACTTCCTTTTCCATTACATCTCATCCTACCGCATTCTCAAATTATTTCAACTCATCGTATTTCATCTCTAGAGTTTAAGTCCGATTATCTTCATCATATGTGTTTGAAGGCTAAGTTGTGTTGATAAATTCAACAACCTTTATACGGAACTTTCATATTTCATATTTTCATTTAATAAAGTTGCTTCGAGGATCCATTTTGATATATGTATGTATTAATATATTGTCAACAGTCAACAATCAACAGTTTTTAAGCAGCTGATCAACCTGCCAACCCGTTTGTACTTGTGCTAATGTTTATTTGTCTTCCTTTTGGCTGCTTATCAGCAGGCCCTTATCGTGCGCTCAACTGTTGAGTCACTGAATGATAAAAGGCAGCTGAACAATGGCTATAAGGTATGAAATGACAAATATGCAGTATTCAACGGTCGCTGTTTATTCAATTAAGTCAAGCGGCGGCTCAGACAGCTGGAGACCCCGTCGTATGCGTAATAAAGCGGCGCAACAACAAATCAGCCCAGAATGGAGAATATCTAATGTGGCTTAAGTTTTGAGGTTTTAGGTTTGCAAGACAAAGACAGGCACACACACACACACACACACACACACAGAGAGAGAGAAACACAAATAGAAACTAAAGCGAAAACCTGCTGAGAGAAGGGCCGAGAGGGCGGCAGGGTGCAGAGAGCGGTGTGTATTAGTATTTGCCCAACATATGGCCGGTTAGTAGGCATTCCAACTCGATATTTGTGTTTCTCAGCAACACTTTTTTGTACAGCCTTGAATTTTCGCGCTCTGACACTGAACTCTCTGAACGCGTTGAAATTCGAAATTCAAATTGAAATCAATTTCAAATTTAATTTGCTTTTTATTTCTTCTTTTCGGGTCGCCTACTTTTGTCATACCCATTAATGCAGTATGCAGAAAGGAAGGGTGGTTTCTGAGGAATGTTAAATGTTAATGCAAAATGCAGAGGAGTTACCCTCTGTTAGGATACTATAGTTCCAGTATTTGATCCTCGATTGATTGTTCTACGAATATTTAAATTTTCATTCCACATGCATGAAGAACTTGTTAACAATTCCACAATAAATACTAATTCTATTCAAGAGGCTACATTCACGAACCCTTATAGGGTATCATGCAGTCGTACACTCTCGCTATATATATTTAATTTTTTGATTTACCCAAAATTTTTGTATTGTATTCGACTTTTGATTTTATGCACAAATGGGCGAGCAATATAAACGTATAAACAGTCTTTAGGCAAAGAAGCCGATCCAAATATAGCATATAATATATAGTATGTACTATTCGAATAATGGAGAGATTTGAACAGATTATTGCTGATGTTACTAATACTAATGTGCACTCAGATGAAAATGGATGAAAATGTGTATTTCATTTTTCGTTTTGTACAGGAAACGCTCGAGTTTTGAGCTCATTTTTATGGCCCAAGCATAAACACAAATGCGAGCTTATTTATGGTTTTATGTGACTCGCTTTGTTGCAAGGTCTCGCATTACACAATTTCGATTTTAAATCTCAACTAGATGTGTGAGTTTCGTGGGATGAGTTGACATTTTAATTGGTTCTTGGTTCGGGCATATAAATAACAAATTTTGACAGCTTCAAGAATTTGAGAACGGAAAAGGGAACAAATTTCCCAATTAGAATATAAGCTGAAGATATATAAACTTGGAAGATGGTTAATTTGATTCTCGTTTCAGGTTCTTAAGAAATAATAAAATGCAAATAACATACATATATACATAAAGCAAAAGTTAGCTTTGACTATTTTAGGAATGTATTAGGAATGAATTTAGAAATGTTTGTTTTTAATCTAGTCTTGTAACTCTAGAGCTTTAAGTCTAATTTTAATTATTGCTTTCCTACCCACTTTTTCGAAAATCTTAATGTGCTCTAAAGATCTTTATAGCTGCTCCCATTTGACTTTCTATTTTGTTCTGAGATTCACGTTATACTTTAGGTTCATAATGAAAATTAGCTCAAGTCTTTCATTTCTAGTCCGAGTCATTTGTATAATCTCTTTCAAGTCGTGCAAAGCCTATATAATTTACATTTAACATTTGTGGACTTTGCCTGTTTTCTATACATTTATTTCCCTCTTGTAAATTTAAACACATTTATTTCTTTTGTGGATTATTGGGTCGTTGTCTGGCAATCTACACACATATATATTTCCCATATAAATATATATTCGTTTCTTATAAATAGTCGCTGGAATACCAACCTTGTAATTTAGCAGCGTTCAGTTATAAAATGATATACTATATATTTATATACATGTATATAAAAGTATAAACAATTTGCAGTTAAGGCGCGTTGATAGTGTTGTAAATCGTCTATAGAGCGATCGTTTTTAACTTCCGCGTTGGGTTGATTTTATATATTTTTAAAGACCACGAATAATACATAAAAAATTGTTAAGCAAATTGCTCGCAATGTTTATACAAACATTTTCTTTAACGCATTTTTTCTTTCATTAATTAATTCGTATGCGTGCCCATGCATTGGAGCTTGATTTGTTTCATATGTAAATTGTGTATTTCTCTGTTGGTGTTAAACACGCTTTTTGTTGTTTAAATTTTTTTTCTTTTTTATAAATTGGGTCACACATGTGGCGATTAAAACAGAAATATTTTATATGTGTATGGGTATAATATTTATAAGAGTAGAACTACGCACACTATAAATTTTGATAAGTAAAATTATAATATATATTATGTATGTATGTATATATACACTCGCGGCGAAATCTTATCAGCTTGTCACCAGAAACAAAAACATTAACTCAATGAATTGTTATACTTTGAATCGAATTTGTTCTGCTGTGGTTATTGTTGTTGACGTAAGACTTGAAGTTTGAGAATTTAAATAGTGAAGCTATTCTTGCTTTATCTTCAACTGTTAGACAACACTGTTACTCGATGGCACACGTTGTGAGGTTCAATATATATATATATCTATATATGTATATGTATATATAGCGTAAATTTGCTTAATAATTATGGCAAAAATTTACAACAACTTAAAAGCTTTTGTGGGCGCTTTTGTTTACGTTGCTGTTGTTGCTGTCAATTTTGCGGTGATTTCAACCAAGCAGCTGAGCGCGTTGCGAACAACTGATCAAAGCAAGCGTTGAGCAGTTGGAATACAGCAAAGAAAAGCTCTCTCACATGTGCGCGCACGCTCCTTTATGGGCGTATGTGTGTGTATGAGTGTTTCAGCTGGGGGGAAAGAGAGACAGAGTTGTTGGACAGACGTCGCGTCGATGTCGACGTTAACGGCAGCGTTAGAATTCTTGTTTTTTAAATTCCAGCACTCTTTATATTTGGCAGGGTTTTTTTTATTTTATTTTTTTTATTTCTGTATTTTGAATGTTTGATGCTGTATTTATTTATGCAGATTTGTTTGGTGTTGTTGTTCTTTTATGTGATTGAATGTTGAAACTAGTTCGCGCATTACCTAAGCGAGTTTGTTTAAATTAATGCCTGGCATCTGATTTAATTTAGTAAAGTTTGCATGACCAAAACGCGTTTTGTTCTCGTTTTTTTAAGATTTGTTTTCATTGCACGCTAATTGAATTATGAACACAACTACTTTTTGATGAAATATATTTAATTTTTTAGTTTGTATTTATTTACTTTGATTTTTTGCACGCGCTGCATTGACGCTCGTTGTTCATTCTATCAGCGTTTCTGACATGTACGAAACGACAATAAAAATAATTTTTGTGTGTTTTATTTTGATTATCGCACTCTGCACCGAGCTCTATGTGAGTACATGTGTGTGTGTATTCTGTATTGCTACACACACGAATGCACACATTAACTGTGTTATATTCCGTTCCGTGTCCGCGCTCGACAAACGTTCTTGACCGATTGATAAAAACTGAAAGCTCGACGACAAATACACAACAAGCAAAAGCTCGCGCCGTCGACGTTTTTGTTTTGATTGTTCAGCTGTGCGAGCGTAGCAGTCGGAAAGAGAGACAGAGAGAGAACGACAAAGAGAACGGAGTGTGTGTATGTGTGTGTGATTATAAGCGCGCATGTCACTCACCCACACAAGTAAAAGCAGCAAAACAATATCTCATCGTCTGTTGCTTCTTTCACTTCCACTTTTCCATTTGGTTTCGTGAATGCCGGTGCTGGGAGCGTGCGACAGTGGAGAGTAGTTAAACATCGAAAGCGACAGCGCAGCTGCTCGGGTACAGTCTGTTGTTTTGGGTTTTTATTTTTGTCGGCTCTGCTTTAGCTGTTTATGTTTTTCCCATTTGATTAATAAATAAATTCATTTATAAAGCTTCCGCTCGCGCTTGTGTTCACTCTCTCTCTTTTGCTCTCTTTCCCTTTCTATGCGCAACCACTGTGCTGCCGCTGCCCACCCGTTTTTTTTTTTCTTTTTTTTGACGTCGCTTTTGTTGTTTACTTTGGGTTAGGCGGCTTGTTTTCATTTTCTGCGCACTCGTATTGTTATTGCTGTTGTTATTTTCATTATTTTTTCTATAATGCAAATTTTTGTTATGAAATTGCCTAGCGAATTGATTTGTGTTTTGATTTTCGCAAAAATAAACTAGTTGAACGTTGAAATAACACTATAATATTAAAGTCGTTTTATTTAGAGAACAAAACAAATGCAAAGCGACGCAAGCGGGATTTGCGCGCGCTCCAAGAACCGCTGCAGCGGCAGCTCTTCGCTGCTGACGTTGCGTTTTTTCTCTCTCTGTCTTCGCTTCATTTATGGTTTGTTTATAGCAACCAGTAAAAACATTTAAATAATAATAATAATAACAAAAGGAATGCGCCCAATAATTTTCACTGTTAGCTTTGCACATACTTATGCATTACATACATATGTATACAGACATGTACATATATACATGCATATACATTATGCATGTATCTTTTCATATTTCTATATGTGAATGTATGAATCAAATATCAGCATTTATTTTTTTCCTTCTGCCTTTTGACACAATTCGCTCATACTAGGGTTTTATAGCATAGAGCTGATGCAATATGCCTTTGACAATGTGAAATCTGATTTTCGAAATAATGGTGGACATGCGTACACGTACATACATATGTATGTATGTATTTATTTGATCTAATAAAAATATGGCATACACACATGTACATACATATATGTATGTATATGTACATACATTGTATATTGTATGATATAAAAGTCTTTCTGCTAAGGCTTGCCATCTCTCATATGTTATAACCGAATACATATGTACATATACATATGTATGTATGCATACATATGAATACAAATTTCCCTTTTCTTGTTACATAAAACAAATTTCAAACAATGAAAACGTCCTACGCATATTGCGGTAATGGAATAAGATAGATATCATATTCTAGAAAGTGATAATATTCATTATTAATGCTGATGAAGTGAAGTCTTATTTTCTGTCTGAATCAACTAATTAAAGTGCTTGATCAGTTCAAATTGCATTTCACTCCAAAATAAAAATCCAATATAAACATTTTAATCCTGCTCCTGGACACACTCAGCCATCGAGGATAATTAAGTTTTATTGACGATTCAATGACAATCCAATTGAATTATGGAAAAATTTTCATCAAAGAGCTGTTGCTGTTGCTGCGAAAAAGAAAAAAAAAAATCAACAGCAAAAAATCACGACCATGTCCTTGAATGGTAAATTGCGACACAGGAAAACAAAATCAGCGCGCGAGTGAAGTAAATATGTATAAGCTTGGGAAACGAGGCGACAGGACAACAACAACAACAACAGAAGCATGAGCCAGTAAAGCGCTCTTCAGGAACAGTCGTTCCAGTTTCTATTTACGTAGAAAAACAAGGATGCCAGACCACACACACGCACACATACACACTCACACGCCCACTTCAAGGATCCACTATGCGGTAAACGATTGTCAAGGACGTGGGCGCCGGAATCCTTCGGTGAGTATTTACCAAACAGCACATAAAGCAGTCGCCTACGCCGCGACTTACGATGCGTGGGCGTGGTCATGTGGGTGTTGGGGCTGACAAGCACCGGTTTATTTATTCTCTGCTACCATTTTGCTTTCCTTCTTATTGTGTTTTTTTTTTAGCGACCCACTCTTCCTCGACACTTTCACTTTCGCTTCGTGCAGCGTCGTCGTCGGGTTCATGGCAGTCCGACGCGTCGGGACCTTGAGAAGTTAGTGGGCGTTGCCAGTGTTGCCACCCCGTCAAGACCGACCCTATAAGTTGGGCGTTCGCTTTACGGCCCCGCTACTTGTGTATTCGTTATGCTACCGCGCGCGCGTTCTTTTTAATTAAATGCAAAGCATTTCACAAGCTCCAGCATAAATATGTTTTAATTAACAAAAAGCTATCACGTTCTGTTCAGAAATCTGGCAACGGCGGCTGGCCATGCACCGACTGTAAACCGTGCGTGTGTTTTGACTAATTAGTTTGAAGAAAACTTTTTTTCAGTCCAGGAACTAAATTAACTAGGTTTTTATCCGCCGTCTTTAAATGAAAGGATTAAGGATTTGTTAGAGAGAATTTTGAAAATTTTTAAAAGTTTCCGGGAAAACGCAATTTGTCAGCATGTACAAAGGAAAAGTTTTTCTCACTTAAAAAGTTGTGGAATGCTGTAAAATAACTTTGTAATTCTAAGAAGGTCAAGGCCTTTGTATGTTTGTACACAAAATATTTAAAGGTTGTATATCATGAATTATGGCATAACTGCCCAAAACTTTTTCCTTGTTATTCAAGAAATAAACGTTTCAGTGTTACTTTTCTCTAGAGCTCAGTGAAACATTTATAAATATTACTCAAAATAAACTCATATAAATCATATATATACATATACATAAATTGCAGAGAAATCCGCAAATATTTGGATAGGAATTTCAATTAAATATTGACACGCAATTTGTGATCTTTTTATGAAGTGTATTCGAGCTGTCGGTGTGAACCTCTTGAAATTTTCCAACTTGTTTTTGTTATGAATGTGCAGAAGCACAACAAAAAATACAACCGAATTCTCGCAAGGTTCTCAAGGACATGGGGAGAAAGCGAGTGGGTGTTGCGTTTACCACTTGGGGGGAATTTCGACAGAGCGTGGGCGTTTATTATGCGGGCGCATGTCAGCAATAGCGGGAAACCACCAGTGCGAAAGAACGAGAGTGAGTGAAAGAGACCGAAACACCGAGAAGGACAGAGAGAGTGCGACTGTCCAGAGCTTGTTTAAGGATTTCAAATGAAATTTTGCGTCGTAATTTTCAACATGGCAGCAAAACAACAACAACACAAAATCTCCACAACAACCCCCAATATGAGGTGGGGGCTCACCAGCAGCCGGCAAGTGTGTACACACTTATATTGTATTATAGAGATATACATATGTATCTACAGACCGACCCTATACTATATATCGAATGGTGGGGAACGCGCAGACATTGCGGGCGTTGTTGTGACGCGTATCGATTTGTTTATGTTTATTAAATGAGAATTCGCAACAACAAAAAAAAACAAGTAAGAAGACTCTAGTCGAGACTGCTCGACTAGGAGATACCCTGAACCCTCTAATCTGATATTCACTCTGCACTTCTTTTCGGCACACATACATACACACGCACGTATTAGAACGCGCTCTGCTAACTGCGCAGTAAGCAGCGACTGCGCTTGGGCTGCGCTGTAGTGTGGGCAACATTATAAGAATTTATTTGTTGAATAATTTAATTTCTATACGTACAACCTTAATGAAAGTTTCAGGGCGTAATTATATGGTGAAAATGTATGTACATTCCAAAGCACATGTCTCTAGTACTTGAAATACGCCTTTTACAGAGGTGAGGGTGAGGGGGTGGATATAGGGGTGGGGGGTAAATTACAACAAAAATCGAAATTATATAAAATACATATAAGTCTACATTTAAAATTTGCAAGCTCTAGCTCTAAAGGTGTAGGAGATATAATTAAATAACTAGCTTTCGATAAGGTATTTGATCGATAATAAAATATCGGGAGTAGTTATCGATATATAAAGAAAAACTTGATATGCGCGTGATATACACGGACCTAGGAAAAAAAATTTCAAGTCTCTAGCTCTTATATCTTCTGAAATCGACGCGTTCATACATACGGACGGACGGACGGACGGACAGACAGACGGACAGGGCCAAATCGACTTAGCTCGTCGCCCTGATCAAGAATATATATACTTTGTGGGGTCTGCCACGCCTCCTTCTGCCTGTTACATACTTTTAACAAAACCATTATACCCTGATTTCCCATTTTCAATGGGTTCAGGGTATAAAAAAAAAAAAAAAAGGAAACCGAAGGCGAACAGTAGGGCGTAGGGGCACTGCGTGTGGGTGGACTGCTCAAGAGGGTCCACAGCACCCAATGACAGTTTTCACAAGTAATACTTCGAGCCACTGCATGAACTAGGTTGCACTTTTCTGAGAAATTTCATAAAGCTGGATAAAATTGTTAAGGGACTTATGATTCAATTAAAAAAGAAAATGCGTGCCTCGAATATTTGAGAAGCGCAAGGAACGGCACACAGCATTGCTATCAATAAGGAAGTGCTCTATACTTCATTATGATTAGCTATACGCATTCTAAGACGGATTATAAAAGCCGTTAGACCAGTCCGAGATCAAAGTCCGCTACGAATAAAAAACATTTTAAATTCATATTGGACAAAGGCTTACAAAATACCATTGTAGAAATTTCTATAATAAAAATTAATTAAATTTGTTAAATTTCCATAAATTTTATATTATAAACGTTTCTAAAATGTTTTCAAATAGGAAATCGCATTCGATTTTAATTATAATTTCACGTTTTTTTTTTATAGAGCTTTCGTGAACTGACATGCATTTCGCATGTGATTGAAACCACTCAGCGA